GAAGCATAGGCTAGGTTTGGGGTTTAGGGTTTAGGGTTTAGGGTTTAGGGTTTAGGGTTTAGGGTTTAGGGTTGAGGGTTTAGGGTTTAGGGTTTAGGGTTTGGGGTTTAGGGCTCGGGGTTTAGGGTTTGGGGTCTCAGGGCTTTCAGGGCGTCAGGTTCAGAGTGAAGGATCAGGCGTCATTCTGGATCGCTGTTCGAAGGATCTTATGTATACTCAGGTACCCTAAACCCTAAGCCCGAAACCCTAAACCCTAAATCCTAAACCCTAAACCCTAAACCCTACACCCTAAACCCAGCTTGGTCTTTAGAGGTCTGGAGAGACCCTCCGCATCCCAGCCGAGACCCGCCATGCACAAACCGAAACACTGGGCCCGCCTGAGGTCGACTGGCGGCGGAATTTCATCTTCTTTACCTGGGGGCTCATGTGCCCTAACGGTTTAGGGTTTAGGGTTTAGGGGACCTGGCCACGGATCTTGGGAAGCTGGGATGCGATGCTAACTAAAGCCTTCAGTTTTGAAGTGGTGCGGACCGTCGTTTCCTAGACCCTGACCCCTAAACCCCCAAACCTGATAGCCGAAACCCGAAGCCCGAAACCTTCAAACCCTAAACCCTGAGCAATCGAATTAATGTAGGGGTCTAAATAATTACCTATACTATCTTGGGGGTTCCATATTATAATTATAGTATAGTGGGCCCCAAAACCCTATTCTAATTATTCAGGCCCCTACATTAAGGCTTCAAAGTCTCGACCTACGACTCGGGCTTTCTGCGTTGTTGCCTTCTGGGTTTCTGGATCTTCGCACAAAACCCGGAGCCCTCAAAGGCCCTAAGGCCCAAAACATGTATTCTTGAAACCCCTAAACCCTAAACCCCTAAACCCTAAACCCTAAACCCCTAAACCCTAAACCCTAAACCCTAAACCCTAAACCCTAAACCCTAAACCCTAAACCCGATGAAGCCGGAAGCTCTTAAGCCACATCACGCTTGTGTAGACTGGGACAACACCGTGCGGTCCAGGCCCTACATAGCGGCCACCCCTGAGTCGAAAATGTGCACCACGCTGGTGTGAGCACGATTGGCACGAAGCGTGGGAGCACGAGTCGCGCCCCAAAATTTGTGTGGGACTGTGGCAGTGGCAGACATGTGGAACTGTAGCGGTAGCATGGATTTTCAACATGCACACGGCTCCGATAGCCCAGCTCATCAAGTTTGTGAGCACCAGACGGATCAGATTTTACCCGAAACCTTCAACCCTGCACTCACACGCTGTCGCAGGGACAAATTAATCCCGGTTACTCGTGACATAAGACACAACCGCAGGGTCTTGTGGTGGGAAAAGTCTTTCAGGGCTTCGTTTCCGGCTGCTGGTGCCTCACTCCTAGAAACTCCAAAACCCCTTAATTCCAAGGTTCGAAGTAGGGGCCCCTAAACCCTAAACCCTAAACCCTAAACCCTAAACCCTAAACCCTAAACCCTAAACCCTAAACCCTAATATAGACCCTTCGGGGGGTTCTAGGGTTCCTGAAGGGTACATATAGGTTATATAGTGGGTATATAAGGGTCCCAGGGTTAAGGGCCCATACTAGGGGCCCATGGGTTCAACCGTAGACTAATTAAGGAATAGACCTCAAAATATAATCGGAACCTGAATCTGATTTAAGATCTACCGGTCTACCATAAACCCTAAACCCGTCTAATCCTTAATTAAGAGGTGTTCGAGTCTCTTGGCTAGGCTGTGGTGCGAGGCGATGAGGACCTTTGTCAGGTAGCTCTGTCTTCCCTCGCTACGGTTTTTGAAATCGCAGAACCCGATACTTTTGATTTACACTTTCATTCTTTAGAATTTAAAGGGTATCCCTCAATTAAGGGGTATTGGGTTCTCCTGAAATATCGAAGGTTCCTTGCACCTAGCTCCGAAACTTGCACGTAGTTTCAGGATTGAAAATAGGTGACCCCAACATAGACCCTAAACTCTGGAATCCTGTTATAACGTACTCTGCATGTTCCGGAATCCCAAAACTCTGAATTCCAGAAGTTCTAAATTCTAAATCCCTTGTAATGCCAGCACAAAACCCGTATCAAGCTCAGAAAGAGCCCTTGTGCAGCCTGAATGAACCATCTGAGCAAGTGCCCAGGTACCTCGGGGGTGTGCAATATTTCATCTATGTGCATCTATTCGCAAGACGCTGGTGCTTGGGCTGAGTTCAGAAATAGTTTCAGAGGGTCTTATCAGGGTATTTCAAGAGTTGCGAAAGGCTTCTACAAAGGTTCCAAAATGGTTGTTCAGAAGCGTTCCATACCGGTTTCACGCGGCTTTCATGAATGCTTTGTGAGAATTCTATAAGTCTACAAGAGAAAATTCTGCCTGTTAAGCATGGAGTCTGAAAAGCAGAGTTTAGGCTGTGGGAGTGTAGCAGCTGTGTTCTTAAGCCTTCAACTTACACGAAGTCCTTCGGATACGGAAAGTTTCCACTTGTTCTGCTTGGCCAACGGGGCATCTAAGTGTAGGTGGGTTGGGAGCGCGACTCTTGGAAGGACTGATGAAGTAGTTCTTGACTTGAACAAACCCTAAACCTTAAGCCCCCCTAAACCCTTAACCCTAAGCCCCCTAAGCCCTAAACCCTAAACCCTGTACCCTAAACGCTAAACCCTAAGCCCTAAGCACAATCCTCGAATCCTGATTCTAACAGCCCCCTCTGAACACCTTGAACCCCACAGCGCAAAGCGTTAAGTGTAAACCCGAAGAGCAATCGAACAACACCTGAAAAGGCAATGCCAAACGTAAATCGTAGAAGCCATGGCGAACCCAGAAATGCCAGAGCAACCAGTCAAAATCCTATACTCTAGACTATTCCATTCTACTATACTATACTATATACTATATACTATATACTATATACTATGTCCTATATACTATATACGATACACTATACTATAATATAATATACTGTACTATATACTATACTTTGTTATATACTGAACTATATTGTATACTATACTATATATTGTACAAACGATACTATACTACTATACGATACTATACTATACGATACTATACTATACTATACGGTACTATGCTATACTATAGTGTACTATATTGTGATATACTATGCTGCAGAATACTATACTCTACTGTACTGTACTATACTTTACTGTACTACACCATGCTATACTCTACTGCTACTATACTGTTACTCTCCTCGACTTTCGACACCCTAAAACCTAAACCCTGAAACCTAAACCCTAGACCCTAAACCCTAGAACCTAAACCCTAAACCCTAAAACCCTAAACCCTAAACCCTAAACCCTAAACCCTAAACCCTAAACCCTGAACCACAAGCCAGGTTTCCGATGGCAGAGGCCTTTGCAGCCCAGCCCTGGCGGGCGAAACTTGCGGACCGCGCGGGCCAGCGGAACGTCCTGGCGCAGGTCCAAGGGTTTTAGGGCGTTGGGGTTTTGGGTTTTAGGGCTTTAGGGCTTTAGGGTTTAGGGTTTAGGGTTTAGGGTTTTAGGGCGTTGGGGTTTTGGGTTTTAGGGCTTTAGGGCTTTAGGATTTTAGGGCTTTTAGTGCTTTGGGGTTTCAGGATTTTCGGGTTTTAGGGTTTTAGGGTTTGAGGGCTTTCTAGGGTTTTAGGTTATAGGGTCTCGGGTTCCGGGTCTAGGGTTTAGGGTCGTAGCTCGGTCGACCTGCCAGAGACCCACAAGACTTACAGGGTTTCTGTAAGGGTTTTTTCCATAATTATTCTGCAAGGGTTTCAAGGAGTTCTTTAAGGTTTCAATATTCAGGTGTTGGGTTCCGGGCTTTTGACTTTGTATTTAGGCGTTCTGGGGTTTTCGGTTTAGGGCCTCTCGTCATTGGTCCGGATCCGTGTTAGCTTTCCCTGCCTGCCCAATATGGCAACACCACAGCATAGAAGCAGATGAAGCCTAAACACCGAAATCCATAAAACTCTGATTCCTAAGCCCTAATGTAGGCACTTGATTCAGAAACGCTGGTCCTGTACACCAAAAACAATAGGATCCATAAGCAGCCCTAATAAATGAAAGACCCAGGATTCTTAATCAGGTTCCTATACCCTAAACCCTAACCATAAACCATAAGCCCTAAACGTCACTTTAAGGAGCTCTCTTCTGCAGTAGTTTGAAGTATTCGGATCATTCTTTCCATTCTTTCCATGCGTTCCATTCCGGTGCTTTAGGAAGCTCGACCTGGTAGCGATGGTCATCATCACGACCAAGGTCATCAAGGGTTTAGGGTTTAGGGTTGAAGGTTTAGCAGCCCATCATCACAGGTTTAAAACCAACCATTTTCTCCTTATGCTCATGGCAATGACCAGGTTCAGAGACGGGTTTGAAGCGGAATGCAGCATCATCGTCGAAATGCGAATTGTGTTAAGAAAGGCAAGGAACCAAAATCAAATAAGTTCTCAGGCGGTACCAGGCTTTTCGCACGCAGATGCAGCAGACTGCGCGGGTGTTGGAACTTAGGGGCTTTGGGTTTAGATTGTAGTGCCCCCTTGTGCAATATGATGCCAGACCTCCCATGAGAGCTTGTGGCCCCAATCCGAACAGTCCGAAGCCCTGAAAATTAGATCAAAGCCCTACAACCTCAAATCCTAAACTGCTAAAACCCTAACCCTAAACCCTAAACCCTAAACCCTAAACCCTAAACCCTAAACCCTAAACCCTAAACCCTAACCCTAAACCTTCCCAAAAAGCCTAAGCCCCAAATTCCGACGCCCCTGGCCCTGTCTTCGTGCTCTTCTTATGTCCTTTAGAGAAGTTTACGGCCAACCATACGAGCTTCATGGAAATTAGCCCCAAATCCTAATCACTAAACCCTGAACCAGGGTTAACGGTGCCTTTAGGGGTACCTTATAAGGGTAGTATATAGGATTTAAGGTTCTAGGCCAAATAGTAGATGATGGAAATGCCTTGTGTGTAGCCCGGATAGAGCACTGAGAGACTCCGCTGGTCTCACGCCTGCAGGTCTTCTTTGATCAGTTTGTGTCGTGTGCTCAGCTGTTGTAGGGTTTTATGGTGCGGAGTTTGTAAGGGTTTTTAAGAGTTTTTGGAGCCCACTACCTCTTAATAAGACAACATACACCACAAAACATATTGCGGAGCTCTGTACAGCTTAAGGAATATTTTCTTTTGAAGGTGTTTTAGGCTGTCTGAGGCGTTCTGAAAGAGCGAAACTAAGTCCACCACCATGTCTCTTACATTTGTCACCATTACCATTAGTATTCACAGATTAGTGTTTTCTGGTGGTGCTTAATCATCATTACTTTCATGACTCTGTCATTTTTGGTTCCGAAGGCATTATGACGGTGATTGGGGTGACGGGTGAGAAGACACGAACGCTCTAAGCATCCAGCATTCGTAGTTAGACAGCCTACCTGCGCTGAGATCATAACTTTTCTGGTGATGATCATCCCTAGACCCTAAACCCCTAAA